TGACACCAAATTATTTCCTCCCAATTTGTGGTCAAGACAGCAAATGCGACACATGTTCGGTTACAAAATTTGTACCATAAAATCATGACATCACATCTGAGAAAACTAACGAAACTCATTGCAAAACAAGAGATAAATGTATGTTTCCTGATGTGAGCGATATTTAAATTTGGCCTCAATATAACGGCCGCCCGTGACGTCAAAGTACAGACGGCGGCGTTTGTCAACAAGTCATTACAACGTTTCAGTAAACACAAGATTTGATTGCCAAATTAAACAGCTATAGACATACAGGCCTCTAAAAGGCCTTGGAAAGAAAATGGGGCGTGTGTGTCAAGCAGAGTTGTGCCGCTTTAACGTGTTATTTTGTGGCTTGTACAGTATATCCCGTTTTTTTAATGTCGTGTATATCGATGCCAAGCGTCGTATATCGTGTTTATCGCATGCCAAGCGTCGTATATCGTGTTTATCGCATGCCAAGCGTCGTATATCGTGTTTATCGCATGCCAAGCGTCGTATATCGTGTTTATCGCATGCCAAGCGTCGTATATCGTGTTTATCGCATGCCAAGCGTCGTATATCGTGTTTATCGCATGCCAAGCGTCGTATATCGTGTTTATCGCATGCCAAGCGTCGTATATCGTGTTTATCGCATGCCAAGCGTCGTATATCGTGTTTATCACATGCCAAGCGTCGTATATCGTGTTTATCACATGCCAAGCGTCGTATATCGTGTTTATCACATGCCAAGCGTCGTATATCGTGTTTATCACATGCCAAGCGTCGTATATCGTGTTTATCACATGCCAAGCGTCGTATATCGTGTTTATCACATGCCAAGCGTCGTATATCGTGTTTATCACATGCCAAGCGTCGTATATCGTGTTAAGTATTGGTTGATTATGTCATGTATATTGAAATTCATATATCGTGTTTCGTTCGTGTGTTTTTATTTCAAGAGCTAGTGCCAAGTTGAACGTAATTAAACCTTACCTGGCACAACAGGGTTTAAAGGTACAGTAATTTATTATGGCTGGAAAAAACAAAATCTGAACTTTTATTTTGATAATTTACCCACTAAACTATGTACATTTAGAGATGCCAGGTGAATAGTTTTGGATATTCATGACAGCTGAAACGGTTGTGAACATGTAAATTCCGTCCGTTGGCGGGCTTAGCTGCTAACAGGCGGGAGCCGCCAACACTGTGAGCTCGCTAACACTGCAGAGTTTTTGCACCTAAAAATTATCTAGTCCATAAAGCCTTACAAATATTATTTATGATAATTAACAACAATGCTTTCAATAATTTATCCTTTATCATTTACGGTTTAGCAAATTACATTCCACTTGAACGTTAATTATGGCATTTTACTAATTGTCATTTCTGACAATGACGGAAATTAAATGATATGACAAACAAGCAATAAAATTATCGCAAATACAAGTGAAAAAAATGTTGACAAACAAGAAGCGTAACGGAGCGTTGAACACCCTTGACAACTTTTGGTCCAGTAATAATTTGTTTTAGCTATGCATTGTAATGAGGGGAACTTCCCGCTCATGGTAAACAACTTAGCTGTATCAAAACAAATACTGAGCTGTTGAGACGCATGGGAGGGAATATGCTTGGGGAGGGGGGGGGGTATGAAGAGGGGGCAGGGGGGTGCAGTGCTGGGGTGGGGGTGGAGCTCTGTAATAGGGAGTGGGGGTTAGGAGCACTGGGGTTACGGGTGGGGTAGGAGCGGGGATGAAGGAGGCTGGGGTGTGGTGGAATTGGTGGGGGGCCGAGGAGCAGGGGTTGGGGGGTGAGAAGCAGGGGTTGGGGGTAAGGAGTGGGCGGTTGGGGGGATGAAGAGTGGGGGGTTGGGAAGGTGAGGATTGGGGGAGTTGGGGGGGTGAGGATTGGGGGAGTTGGGGGGGTGATGAGTGGGGGGTTGGGGTAAGGAGTGGGAGGGGGTTGGGGTGAGGAGTGGGAGGGGGTTGGGGTGAGGAGTGGGAGGGGGTTGGGATGACGAGTGGGGGGTGAAGAGTGGGGGGTTGGGGTAAGGAGTGGGAGGGGGTTGGGGTGAGGAGTGGGAGGGGGTTGGGGTGAGGAGTGGGAGGGGGTTGGGGTGAGGAGTGGGAGGGGGTTGGGGTGACGAGTGGGGGGGGGTTTGTGGCCTTATGTAATGCATACGAGCAAAAGGCGACATTCTTTGTACGAGGACAGGTTTGATACAGAAGAATATTTGTAGATATACACAAACTAATTTACTTAAGCCACTAATATGCACAGCATTTCAGGGATCAGCTGTGTGCCATCATACAATATGCCATCATACAATAACCTGGTGAGACCTGCTTAGAATCCTTTTTCAAGGACATGTGACATGGCCAAGGCCATGATTTATTTTATTTTTATTTTATTTATATATACAAAAGTTCTTACATTCATGTAAAGCCACTAGCACACAGCGTTTCAGGCAGGTCCTATCTTAATTTGCCCTGGAATATGGCCCACCAAATCGTTTAACAACCAAGTACTCACTCACTACTTGGTGAACACAAAGATTGGCATCTAGTCAATCCTCCCCGGCCACAGGGACTGCTGCTGATGATGTGAAAGCAGGGAGCTCCCAGCTAGCCAGCCACAACTAGTGCGGTTCGACCTAGTTTCTGAGCGAATCACTTGTCATTTGGCTATCAAAAAATAAAACTTACTTGTGTCATCAAATGTTGCATAAGCAATAACAATCACCACTTTTCTCTTTCTAATATGAATTTCAGACATAAATACCTTGAACTGCAATGAGAAAAATAATGAAAACTACAAAAGGTCTATTTATATCCACTCAATGATATTACTCACTATCTAATAAAGGACCACTTAAATCATTAACAAGCATACGCTTCCTTACTCCTCTTCCTCCTGTTCTACAACATTTACACCATTCCACCTTTCATTATCATTTTCTTTTGTCTTTCTCTCACATAAGACTACCATATCAAACTTTCCTTCTTGAAGAACTTCTGCTCTTGATTCATTTGTCTTACATTCCACACACTGTTTTGCTTTTGGGGATCTTGGCAGGTAGGAGCCCCAGATCCAAGGCTACTTACACCTTTAGTGCAAAGAAATTTGGGAAAATCGATCCCCAGCCCAATCCCCCCTCTCCCCATATAATGCAGGGGATGCAAAGTTAATTGCACTACATAATAATGAGTAGTGGGGTTGCCACATCTATTTAATGCTTAAATATATTAAAATATTGACATGTTTCTCTACATAAACTTCAATACGGAAAAATAAACCTAAATCAATTTGTCAAGTGCGGATGTCATTCCTGCTTTCCTTTTTGATCATCTCTATGGATCTTATTTCTAATGTCTTCCCACACAGGACATGCAGGGAGCAATGCCCAGTTTACCAGAATCTTTAATGAAGAAAAACCTCAAACCCCACAACATTCTATATATGTGTCTTTAAACTCTTTGGTGTCATGTATGATCAGCATGTTACTCCACATTCTAAAGTACTCAATAATATTATAAAAATACAACACAGGGAGTTTAAGTTATACAAACTTAAACCCCCATACACAGTAACACACATCAACTTACCTTTATAGGATAATATAGCTATGAAGTAAATGCTACTAATATAATACAAATAAATTATCAAGATACTTGTCTTCATTATCTAAACAATTATCCATTAATTCTGCTTACCTGCCATATTTACTGTGTGTAACTCCAACATTACCAAGGGAGTCAAACATTTATTACATACAGTATTATTTTTTAGGGTCTTCTGTAGTAACTTCTTAAGATGGATTAAGATTAAGCCACCCAAGATGTGGCATGGGCATCTTGCCCATAAAGCTTCTTTAGTCAATTTCCCAATACAGTATTTTTATCTCCTGCATACTATGCTACCTAGTAAATTATGGTTTTAACAAACCCCTTCAGCACATCTCTTGGGACAAAACCCCTTTTGGCATATCTCTCGAGACAAATCCCTCATTAGTACATTTTTTTTTTTTTTTTTTTTGAGATATATACAAGAGTTGTTACATTCTTGTACAGCCACTAGTACGCGTAGCGTTTCGGGCAAGTCCTTAATCCTATGGTCCCTGGAATACGATCCCCTGCCGCGAAGAATCGTTTTTTCATCCAAGTACACATTTTACTGTTGAGTTAAACAGAGGCTACAGTTAAGGAATTGCGCCCAGTAAATCCTCCCCGGCCAGGATACGAACCCATGACAAAGCGCTCGCGGAACGCCAGGCGAGTGTCTTACCACTACACCACGGAGACTGCAAATCTCTCAAAACAAAACTTGTTTCAATCTACTATCTGTTTAAAATTAATTGAAATAAAAAATCTTTTGCAAAAATGTTAAGGATAAACTGATGTCCACAAGTGTCCACTTTTTTTTTCATCATTTCAATATACGGTGAAAACTCTATATTCATCAGATTCAATATTTGTCATGTTTTAATAACATGAAATGCTTCCATCTTTGTCACTCGCCGTCCGGTACAGGTAGTAGGTCAGAGGAGGAAAGGATCAAGTAAGGCACCATCCCTACTGATGACATTAATGAAATGCTATCCAATTAGGCCAAAACACAGAATATGGTGGAAAACTGGCATGCAAACATTGCCATAGGTAATCGAAACATAAATGCATTCAGTGGTAATGTGATTGGGTACTTCAGGAAAGTTTAAAAACAGACAACATTGGTCAAGTTCTTTGCTAAATTGAGTTCTAGTGACTTTTTGGAAAAGAGAATAAAATGATAATGATCACCAGAATTGGAGTTACCTCATGTTTAAATGGAAGTTTACTCCCCCTTCTAAGCAATAATTCCTTTTCTCCTCTTCAGCTTCTACCACCATCTATTCTCAGTATACAGTAACAATAATGTTTTGGCTAAAGTTCCACTCTACATGTGACCAATGCACAAATAAATAGTAATACTTGTACTACCATAATTAAATCAACCCTTTAACATACCTGCTTCAAGTCCCTTGCGGAGGGAGAACAATGAATGGAAATTTAGAAAAGCAAGATGAGGCTTTCCCCATCGGTTGTCAACATCATCTACGTCTTCTTCATATTTGATCCAACGGGCTGTTTCCTTCCACTCAACACGACCTTCTGAATATTTCAGTTCATCCAACTCCACAAACACCTAGAGACAAGACAACAAAAATGATAAGGACCATGAAACATAATAATAATACTGTACTGTATTAGACCACACTGAATCAATCTGTAATAGAGGATATCACTGATTTGGTTTTCAATTAACTATGATTTTCAGAAAAAATCCCCAAACTAACCTCATGAGGACTGTGGTCATATGTTTTCTTCACAATAGGTAACTGCCGATCATTTTTATCTTCCTTATCACCAGCATGAATGATGGATGCAACTGACGAGCGTGCTCGTACTCGTGGACGACGGTAAGCACTAGGGTCATCAAATCTGTGGCCTATTTTAAGAAATATAGGAAATAAACTTTACACAAATTTCATCACAGTATATGCAAATGGTTTTTAAGAAATTTAATTTAAGAACAGAAAGATCATTGCAAAATTTCATGTTCATATTAGAAATATAATGTACGTTACTGGAAATGAATTACAGTAATGTATAACTCAACAATGAATGATAAGTTTAAAGTTGCCTCAAGACAGGAAACAATTTGTCTTTTTTTTTGCTAAACTGGAACAGATAAAGTCAAAGACTTATCATTATCCATCAACCATCTAAGTGTCCTTTACCTAGAATGATTTACAAGGCCAGGATTCATCAGCCAAGAGCTCTCAGTACATACTGGGTGAGAAATAATATTCATTAGGCCAGGGATGTTTGAGAGGGGGTTGGTTTCTAGTTTTCAACAAATTTCAGTAGATTCTGAAACTCAGAAAAGTATTCAAAGCCAATTAGGTAAGCTTGTTTCAGAGTTTCTCCAACCTGAATTCAATGTTGTAAAAAACAAAACATTTTATTCTGAAGCACTTGTAACCACATTTAACTGTACTGCATACAAGATATATGCTCAAAGTGCCAACTTTTATGGAAAGGCTCACTATCCATATGATCAGACCAAGCTCACCACCATCACTCATAATCGCATACTATTAACATACCTAATGCTGTAATATGCAGCACTTTTATGTAATCTCATACTGTAGTATTAAAGCAGCTCACTAAAATACTGATCAACTTACTCGTCATATCATCAAGGTCATGGCCAATTAAATTTCTTGCTTCGTCTTCAGTAGTTGGAGTTGTGTAGGATTGCAAATTGTGCTCACTACCAGCATGACGCCGCCAAGCTGGGTCCTCGACAGTGTCACGACGCCGGCTTTTGTTGGAGCGTCTGAATAAATGATTAAGGGTGAAGGGTTAAACCTCTTCAATGTTTTGAAGTCTTCTAAAACCTTAACCTATTATAAACTTATTATAATAGTTACCATAAATTATTATTTATTTTGTCAAAATAATTCAAATGCATAAATGGGCAAAAGAATATAAATTTTCATACATCAACATTCATAAAATATGTTGAAGCCTTGTGCAATACTGTACTGTAGTCCATGCTGTCTTCTCTTGATACCCAAATCCCTCATCAGAAAGTGAAGAAACGACTATGTTTTGGTCCATCCTGGACCATTATTAAGTCAAATATTTCTGATCTTGAAACCAGTCCTGGATGGAACGAAAAGTCATCGTTTCTTCATTTTCCAATATGTATGGTAATTTGGATATCATATCTTCAGCCACATTATTGTGACATTGTATGTCTTCTGTTATCCTAATACAGGAATTCTATTTTTGTAATTTTCATATTGCCTGTATCCAAGAACTAAATCTTTAGTCTTTTTCTTTATATCATTGCACTACAGCACTTTTTCTCCCACGTATTACTCAAACACGGTTACACTCGACACATATCCATATTAATCAATAGTATTGTCTACATGAAATAGCATTCAATACAGTGTTTGAGACACTCAAAACCTTTGATAAATAACACCCAGAAGCTAATATTTTATTCATAAAATATAACCTGATCTTTAAATTCAGATTTAACTTTCATAATATAAATAAGAGATTGTCAAGAATCCTTCCAGCAACTACTCTCATGCCTACAATTCATGACAGTTCATGACACACCTAAACAATTGAAGGGACAGTGAAGCAACTCTTCACGAACTACAAGCTTCCTATCTTCACCATGGCCACTAGCCTACACCATAGTCTACTAATAAGAAGACCAAAGTAAATTTAAAATCTAAATATATTTGTAAGCCTTGAATATCCATTCAATCTTTTCTTCGTTCCACAGGTGGAAACTAATTACCCATATGGAGCCACATGCATGTTAGAAAGAACTTTTTCAGTGTCAGAATAGTTAACAGATGGAATGCACTAGGTGAATACAACAACTAGGTTATCTTGAGGTTCTCTTGAGATAATTTCGGGGTTTAGTGTCCCTGCGGCCCGGTCCTCAATCAGGCTTCCTTTTTGTTACACCCCCCCCCCAGGAAGCAGCCTGTAGCAGCTGTCTAACTCCCAGGTACCAATTTACTACCAGGTAACAGGGGCATCAGAGTGAAAGAAACATTTTGCTCATTTGTCTCCGCCTCCACCGAAGATCGAACCTGGAACCTCAGGACTATGAATCCGAAGCGCTGTCCACCCAGCTGTCAGGCGCCATCAAGTTCGCCGTCAGGTGAGTACATCTCACTCACTTTATTTGCAGGTTTTTCATTTGTCAGTATTCACAACTAATGTGCTACTTTTAAATTCTATTACAGATCCACATTCATTCCCATGTATCAGGGTAAGTTAATTATGTATGACTGCAGAATAAATAAATCCTGAAGCTGCTGTTCTTGGGCTCTTAAGCTCTGCCTCAGAGACACTGCACATTACTGATGTCTCAACATGCTGATGACACACTCTCCCCCTACAACCTAACACTGCACATTATCATGCATTCCTCCAGTGCTTCAAACATATATACAATACATTTCAAATTCAAGCATTTCACATCCTTTCAAAGGATACCAAAAATTCATATAATTTAAGTAAAGCATATAACCTACCTTACTTGCTTTACAGCATAAATTTCATAGCAATAAATGCCAAAATTATAAAAGGAAGATAGGCCAATTTTTTCAAATAAAATGTACAGATTAACCTCCAAAATTCATATTTCTTTATAACAAATGCAACTAAATATTTGACTGATTTTAATATAGGATTGTCTATCTAAAATTTAGATATAAGTTTGACTTCGTTATCATTCACAAAGAAAGTTGAATCATTACCGTGTAATAACTTCCAGCATTTCTCAGACACTTTACAAAATGTCATTAATACGGTTTGCCAACCCTGGTGCCCAGGATGGTAAATCTGCACGGCAGTAATTTTGTATTAATATTTCGTAATTGTTTTTATTATATTTTGATAATTCAGAGCATGTATAATTAATGACTCTTGAAATATCATTAGAATTTATATTACTTTTAATAGATCTTTGAAAATTTCACACACAGTATTGCATTATATAAATTTTATAAATTGTTCATTCGATATACTGCAATTTATTCAGAGTATATTACATACATTTGTTATGGCATTAAGGTGTCGACATTAAAGGGGTGTGGGTGCCCCCCATCTAAAATTAGTGGCACAGATACTCAACATGATCCAACATTGGATCCACAAAAAGCCAGCGTTGAGTGTAATGAAACGCCATTTTATGGGTGAGTCCCGGAGGCTCCCTGGAGATATACTGGGCTCATATGTATGTACTGTATTAGACTGTGGTATCAGTCAATTTGAATGGAGTTCTAGCCTACCAGGGGACCACGAGCCAGAACCTGGCCCTTTTAGAGGGGGCACAAGGAGCAATGGTCTATAGAAACTCCCATGTAGTTGGAAGCATTCTATGTGTGCCATCTACCAAGTCAGGCACCCAGAAAGGTAGGCATTCGAAAACAGACCCCTAATGGTGAAACAGTGCTACCTAAGATCAAACTGCTAAACAGAACTCCCCAATCTGAAAACAAGAAAACAAGGATGACATCTAACCCACCACCACCACTATACCCAAACCCCACATCATGCTTGTTTGCTTGTTTTCAGATTGGGGAGTTCTGTTTAGCAATTCGGTTTTAGGTAGCACTGTTTCACCAGTTGGGGTCTGTTTTGTGATGTCTACCTTTCTGGGTGGCTGACTCGGTAGATGGCAGATATAGAATGCTTCCAACCACATGTGGGTTTCTGTAGGCCATTGCTCTAGGGCCTCACTGCGGGGGGCCAGGTTCTGGCTCGTTGTCCCCAGTAGACTGGAACTCCATTTGAAACAATTTATGTCACGGTCTGATACATACCTATCAGCCCGGTATAGCTCCAGGGAGCCGAAGGGGCTCTCCACAGACAATATATACTGTACAGCATTTATTGGTGAAAGTGCAAGAGAAATGTTTGAAGTACGCATCGAAGCTTGTCCCTGTTGTGAGAGTATTGTACATACCTGATCACAATATAAGTGACGAGCAAACTCCTTGAGGTTATGTGAAGAAAATTATCAGTATTAGTAAGGTATATTTCATGTACAGTAATAGTCACCTGAAGCTGCGGCAAATCTGAAGACAAAAAGTGTCTCTAGAACAGTGCCATGTCGATTTTGATATGGCAAATAATAGCTGTCACAACTAGAATTTTCTCAAGAGGTCCCTATGGAAAGTGTAAACATCGGGAACAGTTAAGCAGAATATTATTAAGCCAAATTGTATCTTTATTGGTATCCAGTTTAGACTTTAGATTTCACTGCTATTTCGTCAACAGCTTCAGGCATGTACAGCAGGTACATTGATAACATATGCTTCACATGAAATCTGAATTTGTAAAATTCAGATTCCTGGACAATTTAATTAATAGCACATGGATGCCATCATTTGTAATATTTTTGCCCTATTTTGAGCTTGGCTCTTGACACACAATTGGCTCATGCTTGCAACATATCATACAAAGGTAATGCACAGGTGTAAGAAGTTTCACCACAATCTATAAACAGTTGTTGATTAAAAGTTACGGAACGAACACAAACCAATCCTTTACCATTGGATCAATTTGTGAATGACTTGTGGTCTACAAATATGGTTTATTTTTTCAACTTCTCTTAAGTAATGATACTCATTTGTATGAAGTTTTCTTAAATTACCTTCATCAGAGATCTAAAACAATGATGGAGAAACAAAATACTAAAAATCAAAGAGCTAATGAATGTCATCATTCAATGCTGTCAACTGTGTATATTTTTCCCGAGTAGTTATGTTTATTAGTCTTTTCCAAAGATTACTAAATTTATCGATACAATTTTACATGTGATATACAGTACAGTATGTAGATCTTATTCTTAATCAGAAACGTCTTATGATGCCACCATTATTACACCTTGGGTTTTACACACACATCTTTAAAGATAAACCTTTGCTGCTAGTACAAAGTAGGCCATCCAAAACACAATGCATTTATAAGCTTTCTTTATAATTTCATATCTAATCAGACATTAAACTTGTTATTAGATATACAGTATATACTGTACAGTATGTGTGTGTGTGTGTGTGTGTCTATATATATTATATATATATTATATATATATATATATATATTAGATATACAGTATATACTGTACAGTATGTGTGTGTGTGTGTCATATATATATATATATATATATATATATATATATATATATATATATATATATATATATATATATATATATATATATATATATATATATATATATATATATATATATATGACACACACACACACATACTGTACAGTATATACTGTACAATATCTATATCTAATATATATATATATATATATATATATATATATATATATATATATATATATATATATATATATATATATATATATATATATATATATATATATATATATATATATATATATATATATATATATATATATATATATATATATATATATATACACATGTATATATATATAATATATATACAGTATATATATATATATATATATATATATATATATATATATATATATATATATATATATATATATATATATATATATATATATATATATATATATATATATATATATATATATGTCGTACCTAGTAGCCAGAACGCACTTCTCAGCCTACTATGCAAGGCCCGATTTGCCTAATAAGCCAAGTTTTTATGAATTAATATTTTTTCGACTACCTAACCTACCTAACCTAACCTAACCTAGCTTTTTCGGCTTCCTAACCGAACCTAACCTATAAAGATAGCTTAGGTTAGGTTAGGTAGGGTTGGTTAGGTTTAGTCAAATATCTACGTTAATTTTAACTCCAATAACAAAAAATTGACCTCATACATAATGAAATGGGTAGCTTTATCATTTCATAAGAAAAAAATTAGAGAAAATATATTAATTCAGGAAAACTTGGCTTATTAGGCAAATCGGGCCTTGCATAGTAGGCTGAGAAGTGCGTTCTGGCTATTAGGTACGACATATATATATATATATATATATATATATATATATATATATATATATATATATATATATATATATATATGTATAGATAGATAGATAGATAGATAGATAGATAGATAGATAGATAGATAGATAGATACTATATATATATTCATTACTCTATATCCTGAAAAGATGCAGTACACAAATCAAGGTACAAAAATTGAAATACTGTATTTGTACAATTGTACAATTACTATACCAACATTTATGTGAATCTGCACATCTTTGTAGTAACATCAAACTTATATTTCCAGCTATATAAACTCCCTCCAACATTCCCAATACAGTATAATGAGTATGTGAAAAACATCATTCAAAAGAACAAGAACTAACCTGCGGCGTGTTCGATGTTCCAAGTCAGGCTGCTGCTCATCTTCACCTACCATGAGACACACATTATTAGAAACCAGTATGGTGATAAAAGATAACTTAACTCTGGCAAAGTTTGGTCATCCACAGAGGATGTACCATTAAGGGCATAAAATTAGACCTTCCCATTTGCCTACTGAGATGCCTGTTCCTCCTTCAGTGAAGTTCACATTACAAAACAGTGCAATCTCAATTTAATAAACCTCGATTCGGCGATTCTTCAGTTGGAAAACACACTTTCCACGCCAGATTTACTCACCTGATTCAACAAACAAGAGTTCACTGAAGCAGGGGATGAGTGAATTTGCTTAGCATGTTGGGATTGAGTCCATACATAGAGGCAACATTACTAGAAATAGTTGGCCCTTGGGTAAGCCACTGAGCAAATTTAAAACCAAATTTTATGTTTGTTTTTCAGTTGCAGAGATTTTTATTCAGTAAAATCTGGGCCCTTTTTCTTTTGAAAATGAGATTTCGAGGATTAAGCATGGGAAAGATGCTAGACATGTTTAAATCTTTTACAGATATATTCTCTTGGTTGTTGCCGTCCAAATGACAGGTTAAAAATAAAATTTTGCTCAGTGAAATCGGCCCATAAAGTGTGGGAAATATTAGGTATGAATGGTAACGCATAATATGGCTCCAATCACATTTTTAATGATTTTCGTAGATGGACGCAACATTATGAAAAATAGTAAGGGCCTTGGGAAGGCAATTGAGAACATTTAAAACCAAATTCTACAGTTCATTTTAATTTTAAGTCCCCAGTTTTCTCCTTTGAAAATGAGATTTCAAGACTAGGCCACAGGAAAAATGTTTGATGTAGTTAAATCTTTTACAAAGAGGCTCTCTTGGTAGTTGTCCCTCATATGACAGGTTGGAATTAAAATTTTACTTGGTGAAATCAGCTCTTTCAGCATCAGAAATATTAATGCATGAATGGTAACTATTAATGTGACTCCAATCATGGACCCGGATTCATAAAGCAGTTATGCAAGCACTTAAGAACCTGTACATCTTTTCTCAATCTTTGGCGGCTTTGTTTACATTTATTAAAACAGTTCATGAGCTCCAAAGCACCAGGAGGCTTTTATAACAATAACAACACTTGATTGGGAAGTTTTTGTACTTGTAAACTGTTTAATGAATGTAACCAAAGCCGTCAAAGATTGAGGAAAGATGTACACGTTTTGTAAGTACTTTCGTAACTGCTTCATGAATCTGGCCCATGGTTTTGATGATTTTTGTAGATTGAATTAATATTACAAGATCCAACTAGAGCCTTGGGAAAGCCTTTGAGGATATTTAAAATCAAATTCTATGAATTGTCTTTATTCCAAGTTGGCAAGGTTTTCATTTACTCAGATATGGCCTTGGTATGTTCTGAAAATGAGTTTTGGGGCTGGGAATGTGAGAAATAAGCTCGATATGGTTAAATGTTTTTGCAGGCGTGTTCATTTGGTAATTGCCTATTATATTATAGGTTGAAATTAAAATTTCACAAAGTGAAATCAGCCCGTAGACATGGGAAATCTATCCTCGAGGCATCTCCTCACTGCAACAAATTTGGGTTGTTCCACATACTTCACAGAATCGAGGTTGTACTGTATTAGCATCATTAGCTACAGATGAGTCATCACTCATATAGTATTCAACAACTTAATAATGGATTAAATAGGCACTACAGTATTTCACTTCTCTAACACTTATTACTGTATCTCCATTCTTTTCTCTTTTCTATACTGTAAAAAGTATTCAAGATTAATTTTGGCTCTTCTCTTTAAAAATGCTTTCCAACCCAGTGAGCAAAACATGCCTAGGTAATGCCGAGTCAATATTATCAATGATTCAATGTTAAGTCAACATCATTTGCCCACCAGTTAAGGTTTAAATTTTCCAAAAGAACAATATAATCATAACTGGTCAGGAAATATTCTAAAGCTTTTCTAATTTACCGACGGGGAAAAATGTCAGATGACCAGCCAACACAACACTGCTGCAGTGCTAATATGGCAAAGGAAACACCTATCAATGAACGAATATACAAGAATAGTGCTCTAATGAATGGGTAAGAGCGACCAGCACCTGTTACATGCTGTCAATGAAGGGACGAAGATTTAAAGCTCCTACAACATTGCTCTAAACATTTATCTCAATATTAGGCTAATTTTAGATTTACTGTATTAATATTTTAGATTCACCATACAGTAGTTAAAATTTTAAAATAATTAACAAGTAAACAGTCAATGGATTTAATTGTCAAAACATTTTTATACATATTTTCATCCCAATATAAACAACATAGTTGTCACAAATTGATTCATAAAATCAGTTGTGTTAGTTTCTTATTTATTAATAATTATACAGTACATAAATAGAAGACATGAATTTTGTCATTGTACAGTACAGTATTACTTAAAGGAAAATTATCAAAAGTATTTTCAAGATAGTTTCTAATGCCTGAACTTTAGTGTGACACTTCATTTTAAAATCTTTAATGTCTTTCATATAATTTCATCCTGAACATAATAATAAATAGCAGGTTAAGTGCATAAATACTAAAATGAATTAAAACATTATGATGACAGGATTAAGTGTTCCCTCCTCAACAAAGGTGGGCTTAGTGGAAGTTCAGCTCATCCTGGCTGATATGAAGAACACTATCTGGTACAATATTATATCAAAACATAATACTGTACAGTCATAATTTTGGTACTGTAGTTCATAATCAATTACACAGGGGTAAGTCTATTATTTTAGAAAGCATTTCAGATCACCATTTTATAATTTATTAAGATAACTTTATCCATTATTTCATTATTTAATTATTTGATACATACCAAATCGCAGACTTCCAGCCCTGGAGAATCTCATTTTTCCAAATCTCCTCTTTACACTGGCTGTAACTATTGTGTTCATAAGGGGAAAAAAAATCCATGTGTTTATATGTAATCATAAAATGATCCAAGGTGATAGTTTAACTGGTATGATGGACAGGGAGTGAAAGAAGCAAGGTCAACAATGGAAAATGGTAATTTAGAAAGAAAACCACAGACAGCTGGTGGCTATGAACAGTGACACACACAAACACTGAGCAATTAACAAACAAGAGCTTCAGAGTACAAGAAATATGACAAACAAAACAAATAAAGGGAACATGTGTGTTGCCAGATTTGTTAAAAATTAATTAAATTGTGAGCTTATGTGCTGTAAATTGAATATGCTAATGCATGTATCAATAGAAGTTTGAAAGCATTGTTCATGAATAAGGGGCTACTCTGAATACCATTATTTAAATATTTCAGAATACCAAGTGGAACACACTGTTGAAGTGCCCAAAACCAAGAGCCTGGGTATTAATAGAGGACACATTAACAATGCATGCTGTCGGAGCAGCAAACTTCAGGATGTCGTAAGGGTGAAGATACACAGCCAGCTGGCTGAAGCCAACCACCTGACCAGCAAGATTCAAGTCATGGAATACAGGACACGGGACATGAGGTTGACAAGCATAGCATTGACCCCAAGACATGAGTAGTGTGCAAAGAACACTGCATTGTAGTAAGAGGTGCACCCACAGCTAGATAAACCAGGTGTCAATGACTAACAGACCCCACTAGAAAACAGGAACTTCAATCTTAGGCAAAGATGGCAGAGAAGACTGGAGGTGAGAAAAACTGTTACCTAGCACATATATTTGTAAGCGGAAACAGGAGTGTCTTGGGACATCCTTTCATTGCAGTTATGGCTATTTGCCTCAATACAGTTTGATTTCTGATCCCCCATATTCTACCTGCCTCAATGAAGAGACAATGGGAGATTGCAAAGGCCCTCATCTCTTGTAAGCAAAGAGAATCTTCTAGGATACCTGACAATGCCAAAGTCTACTTGGTAATGAATAGTGTGTGTGTGTGCAGGCTTGGGAAGCTACTGAAGGAGTTTGCCTGGAAAAATACTTTACAAAATGCTCTTCAACAGCATGTTTACCAATATATAGTAAAAGAAATGTTCCTTTTCTGATACTGCAACATCACATATGGAGTTTTGGCATTACATATATGGTGGAACATTTAAAACTTATAAAACCATGTCTGAATGTAGACTAAAATGCTCCATTCTGAGCTAGTCACTCAGCCGATTCCTTAGAAAACGTTCTGTTCTTTCCCAAGTACAATACAGTCCAGACACAGCTTGGACAGGTCAAAATTGGGGCTCTGCCACAGTAAGGGTCTTTTCAAAATGTTTCTTCCAAGTCATACTGGAACAAGAAAGATAATGGAAAGCTGTTCTATCCAGCCCCAAATGACCTCCAGAAAGCCTATTAATCATCACTCAAAATCCCATCCAAGTATTACTTAGCCTCAAAGAGCTCACGAAGTAATGCTCTGCTAACTGTTTGTTGGCACAATTGGTCACTACCTTCGAACACCAAAAGATGTCACCAACTACATGTCAACACAATAGTACGAAGCTGCCCACCTAATATTTAGCCCGACTAAAGCCTCCAGACAGCACAGGAAAACTTGATAACAAAATAAAGGAAGAGAAGCAACTGAAAGGTTGCTCAAAATTTTCATCTAGTTTTCATCTAGAGTCCAAGCATAGCTATGTCAATCAGTTGATCCTTTATGCACGAGTTATGAAAGGTGCTAACTATGACTACTGTAAGTACAAAAATGGAAGGCACATGCTGAAGAGCAGATCCAGAAGCAGCCTCAGCATGAAGGTAATTATACAGCAGTATAAATCTCTGGTGCACCCCACTTGGATTATTGTGTCCAAGCATGGAGATATCTTCAGAAGGACATTTTTGCTTTGGAGAAAGTTCAGTGCCAGGTGACTAAAATCATTCTTGAACTAAGTCAACTCTCATACCAGGAAAGGTTGAGAGCAACAGGGATAAGAACACTGCAAACCAGATATGACAGGGCTGATCTCATTCCAACTTTTAAAATATTGAACAATTTGGAGGATGATCCAAAATCCTCCAAATTGTTCAATATTTTAAAAGTTGGAATGAGATCAGCCCTGTCATGTCTGGTTTGCAGTGTTCTTATCCCTGTTGCTCTCAACCTTTCCTGGTATGAGAGTTGACTTAGTTCAAGGATGATTTTAGTCACCTGGCTAGAACAGGTCACCAAGATCTAGAACACTTTTTTAAAAGGTCAGATATAACATGAACAAGGAGCAATGGTTGCAAGCTCAACAAGCCACAATGCAGGACAGAAAACAGGAGATGCTCTTTCACTCAAATAGTTATAAACCCATGGACTTGCCTACCTTAGGCAATGCATTAGGCAGTGATGTGGTGGAGACAGACTCCATATACAGTTTCAAATTTAGATATAATAGAGTCCAGTAGGCTCAGGAATCTGTACATCAGTTGATTGACAGATGAGATGCAGGACCAAAGAGCCAAAGTTCAACCCTTGCAAGCACAACTAGGTGAGTACAACTAGGCAAGTACAACTAGGCGAGTACCTACCGAAGCCGTAAATATCAAAATCCTGCCGAATTTCAAAATCCAGCTCGACAAAATCATCAAGACAAATGTGGGAACATTTTGACAAGGACTGGAAGCCGGCAGCTTGACAAGCCACTAGAGAGTGGGGCCTCCCTCAGTTAAATTCAGGTAAATGTTCAGAGCAGATGCTGCTGCTCATTTTTTTTTTTTTTTTTTTTTTTTTTTTTGCTGTTTTTCACATGCCATCTATGTAAACAGAGAGAGCAGGATGGCCACCATGCTGGGTCCACTAGTTATGAACCCATACCAGTATTATAAAAAATAACCAAGTAACGGCTTATTAACCACCTCACACCTACCATCAGCCACAGCACAATGAAACACCACCGAGTATTGCTTGGACGGGCTCTTGAGCATACTATAGGTGAATAAATCTTCACGAATCATTCTAGGCTTAATAAAGGTTTTCTTCAGAGTGTATCTTTTGCTACTATCACCTGACGAGAGACATTTATAAAAGATCCTCACTGCACAAGAAAGTAAACATCAAGCTGGCCTGTTTTGATCGTGTTATGAAGGGCAGGCAATTGCTTAAGAGAGCAACCGACTGGTAGAGAACAAGAAATAGCAACTGGAATACAGAACAGTTCAACACAAAGTATGCAGGTGAGGATAGGGGGTATAAAGATTCAAGATACTAAATTAGAATCATAAATCTGTCAGCCACACCTACCAATTTCAAACTGGACACGATTCTTCTTACGAGTTGAGTCATCAATATACTGTAAATCAGATTCCATTGGCCGAATGCAGGGTCTGGAAAAGAAGTACAGTATGCAGTTTTTATAATCCAAAACTATACTCTCCATTTGAACATACTGAACTATTAGTATTATCATCCAAATAATTTATTACTACCAGTATTTATATTTATTGGTTGAACAAAGTACATGAATAATGGTATTAGCAAAACAAAAACAAGAGACTAGGCTATTTGCAAATAAAATTTTGTATGCAAGGACCTTATCAAATCCAAGAGATATACAAGGTTAGATGCTCATGCAGTAATGGGAAAAATGGAGAGATGAAGATGAGGCAAGGCTAGAAAGTTGAGGAATTAAATACATCACAATATATATTTCTATAATAGTAACCTAACAAGTATTGCAATGATTAAATTTTCTCAATTCATTTTGATAGCATAGTTGTGTTTAATGGCTGCAGATTCTGTACATTTTCATACCTAGTTACATTCTTCCTGAGTGGTTCCCAGTTCAGTTAAATGTAGGTGGAGACAAGGATTCAACAAAGTTAATTGCGTTTATCCTTAGAAACTTTTATTTCACTGCGCAATGGCATTCTGCTATAAATAAACACTTCCTGTGTGTGTGTGTGTGTGTGTGTGTGTGTGTGTGTGTGTGTACACAGGCCCTTTGTGTGTCAACTTTAGAAGTGAAAAGTTTTCATTTAGGGTTGATGTGCATCAAGTCGATAAACTTCTCTTCAGGGTACCATAATTTTCATGGTTCCATAAGACCTAGTTTTGGGACTTAAGTGATTGTTTTTCCATGCTTTGGTTTTTGGTGTCTTATGGGTTGCATCTTGAGAAATTGGTCTAGGTCTACAACTTTCGGGATCTCAATAAGTCAAACACTTCCTGTCCCCAACATTGAGAAGTCAAACAAATTTAATAAATTTGTTATCTAATACTATAAAAGGTAGTCAAATCTCAAATATGAAATACCTGAGCTTAGGATCATCTGCTAGTAATGGATAATTCTCCTCCTCGTCTGATTCTTGACCTGAAGAGACGTCTCTGCATAAAATCGATTTGGGGAGACTGCTTCCCTCCATTCTGTAAGTGTAATTATTATATATAGTAATATAAAAAGAGCAAATGAAAATTATGCATATGTGTACATGAACATAACACAACTACTCTATCTCCCACACATTAGGCCAGTCTTCAGGAATCTCAAACAGGAATCGTTCAAAATACTGTTCACCATAAATAGGAGGCTATACTGGAATATACAGTGATAGCACAAACTGTATCAGTGAGTTGGGAGGACCTTGATGACCAGGTCAACCCAGACGTGTTGACAAGTGACCCAAGCACCGGGCACCACCAGGTACCCCATGGCAAGGGTGCACCCGATCCCACAATCGTCATCACCACTAAATCAACAACAACAACCCCATTTAGCACAAGAATATAGAGCATGCCAGCTCTTTTGTAGGAAGACCAATACAATGCATCAACCATGTGGGAAGAACCAGAGTCATAAAACAAGTCATCTATTAGTAGCCAGTGTTGCCACCCACCGCATATCCTACTGGTAATTTGCCTAAGTCAACTGTTTTCCGCCCATTTACTCTAGCCTCTACTATGCTAAAGCCTTTTTGGTGTTCCCAGGTACTCCATATTCTGTGTGTACTGCTGCACATGTGGGCCAGTTAAAGTTCAATCATTGAACCTGTGCCGCTTTCTGTAAAACTTACAAACAGTAGACTCTTTACTTAGGCTTTACGTAAAGTGTAGCCAAATCCAAATTGTTTAATTGTCAGTAGGTGGTGCAATTATATCAATAAATTATGGTAACATCTGGGCATTAATTCTCTTTAAATTAATCACTTGTTAAAATTACAAATAATCTGCCACTACTGATCTCACTAGCTCCAGTCTAAATTCTTTATGCCAAACCCACCACTAACCAAATTCCTTCTGTTGGTTCAATAGAAAGGTAACACCTGGTGATGATTAAATGGTCTTAATTAATTATGTCAATTAAGACTACCATCATTTAGAGCATAGTATAATGAGGTACAAGGCTTCTTACCTCAGGTTGGCCTTTGCTCAGGCACACAGTCAAACTCATTAGCAACTTACAGAGTTGAAATGATACATCAAGGAGGATCCATAGTTGTCATGAAGATGGCCATGGTAAGAATTCTTTAAAAACGGTATTACTTTAGTGTATTTTTTTTTTTTTTTTTTTTTTTTTTTTTTTTTAGATATATACAAGAGTTGTTACATTCTTGTACAGCCACTAGTACGCGTAGCGTTTCGGGCAGGTCCCTGGAATACGATCCCCTGCCGCGAAGAATCGTTTGTATGATGGAAATGAATTAAGTACTGTACAGTACAGCATTTATACAACATTCACATATTCCATATCCCTATAGTCCTCATATTCACTGGGGTTACTGTGTAGTATAGTACCATTATCACAAATTGAAATTGCATCCTAACATTCGCATCATGTCAATAGCAACTGCTGGGTGCTCAAAGTTCAACCATCGGCTTTCAGTGAACTACAGCAGCTTCTCAGTAACAGATCTTCCCTCTTCTATTTTCTTACATCATCTTATGAGGACCAAAAAACACCTTTAGGTCAAGTATATATTTATATACAATATTTTTCTTATATTCAATACATGCATAATATTCATAAAACTCTATTATCCATTTGCTTTTGAGCCTTACTCTTGTAGATAAAATATATATATCTAAATGCAATGTATTTGTGGTGTTAATAGAATAATGCAAGCGATGTCATGGACAGGTATGGAGTGCAAAAGTAGTGTATTTAGGTTCGATCACACCAAATGAATAATGATCAAGCAGAGAGTATCCTCCTTGCATAAAGTGTATGCAAGGAGGAAAGAGGAAGTTTCAATGAAGAAATGGACAGATATGGCGAGTGAACACGTGAGGAAGCCGAGATCAAGTATAATCAGTGCACAAGACGTGATTACTTAAGTGTAGTTACAGGATGAGAGTTACGCTCGTGGTGTTCCATCTTCCCAATACGCTTGGTCGCATAATGCTCTGAAACTACTGACAGTTTTGGCCTCCACCACCTTCTCACTTAACTTGTTCCAACTATCTACCACTCTGTTTGTAAAAGAAAACTTTCTAATAATTTTTTGGCACCTGTTTACTTAACTTGAATCTGTGTCCTCTTGTTCTTGAAGTTGCTGGTTTCAGGAATTCCTCTTTGTCAATTTCTTAGATTTCTGTTATTATTTTGTAATTGGTGATAATATCACCTCTATTTCTTCTATTTTCTAGCTTTGGCATATTTAACGCCTCTAGCCTCTCCTCGTAATGTGGTGTGGAATAAGTCTAAGTGGAATAAGTTTGATGGGAGTAAGGGGAGGGAAGGGAATTATCAGGAGAAAGTGCCAATCCATTACGACTACACAGGACTTACAAGGGGCCAGGATATGGATTTGTGATGGGACGAGGGAAAAGGAATGATGCCCAACCACTTGGATAGTCAGGGATTGAATGCCGACCTGAACGAAGCAAGACCGTCGCTCTACCGTCCAGGCCAAGTGAACAGAGTGGGGGAGTGATTGTTTACCATTTCTTTAAGATAATAAATCAAGCAGATATACTGATGTGGATGTTTTACTGAAGTGTGCTTATGCCAATTCTACATAACATTAATTACTGTAGATGGAATAATGCAATAAATGGACGAGTATATTTTTGTCAGAACTTTTATCTATTTTTGGCCTAGGCTGCCTTCCTATTTCCAATTGGAACAGTTCCTACCCATTCCAGGTAAACAGGAAACAGGATAATGATGCCGACTATTTAAGAGCACCAATCACATATAAGGATAAAAATGAGTACAAGAGTCGACATTTATTGTGACTGCAGTACTGTAATATCTAGATAAAACAAAGCAACTCACCCAAACGTGGTTTTTCTAGTAGTTTCTGGCGTTCCCACTTGAAAGGTGGTCACTGGTGGTGTGCTCATTTGAAACGAGGATGGTGGTGGTGTGCCCAATTGAAAGGAGGGCACTAATGGCGTGTCCACCCGAGAGGAGGGCACTGGTGGCGTGCCCACCCGAGAGGAGGGCACTGGTGGCGAGTCCACCTGAGAAGAGGGCACCAGTGGCGTGTCCACCCGAGAGGAGGGTACTGGTGGCATGTCCATCTGAGAGGAACCTGCTATATTTTCATTTTTTTCCTCCTCCTCATTCTCCTCTTGCTTGTCCTGTTGATAATGAGCAAATTTAATTATATATGAATGTATGCCTTTTGTTTACTAATACTGTTTTCACCCAGATGTAACAATTAACTACTTCATCAGACTAAACATTGTACATTATGACATTAAAAATAATGAAGAGCAGTACATTAAACTTCTGAGGTAGATATCAGTACTGTACATACTATTCTAAACACTAACTTGAGCTTCTGCCTTATCAAATATAACACATGCTATTCAAATTGTCAATAAAACAAAAATAAAATATATATTTTTTAAGATTCATAGGCTTAATTAATCAGCATCATATTTTCTGTTTTAACGCCTGTAATTTAAAAATAAATCAATATTTATCGTCCTACAGAGAACTACTGTATGTTTCCAATATCTCACCAAGCGAGTGTATGATGGTTGAGCATCTTCACTCTGACTACCCTTGCGGCTACCCCTACGATGGTGGTGCGGCCTCAAGGGGTGATGGACATGAGGGAAAGTATCACTTCGATGAACTGTAATAAATGTTGTTATTATTTTTTAAAAGTACATAATCATTAAAATAACTAGTAATCCATAGGCATTTTTCAAAGCATGTGAATAGTTACAACAAAATGTTCTCCATGTGTACACAAATAGAGAAAACTGGATTGTGTGTTTCAACAAACTACCACATTTCTAAAGTTACCTTTAAGAAAGATATTTTCTTACATTGAAATCCTTTCAAGCTATCTGACAGCTGTTTATAATGTCCTCCTACTCACAATGCCTGTTGAAACTTCTCATTCTAGTTTGACTTGAATGTATTACAGAAAGCAAATTTATAAATTAATGACAAATCTTTTTAACAAAAAATTACAATGTAACATTCATGCCAGGAACAGTACAGTACTGTATAATGAATATTAACCTAGATGAATACCATAGAGTTGGAAAACATGGCTAGCCAGAAGCATGCCAACTCATAGGGTTGGAAAAACACTGCTAGGCAGACGAGTGCCACTACATAGTGTCAAATCACTGCTGGGCAGAAGCGTGCCATTACATGGGATGGGGAAAAATTGGCCGGGCAGATATGTGCCACTACATGGGGTCAGAAAAATTAAAACTACCCAGAACAAAGTTAATTATAGCCCAACCGATAGTATGTGTCAACTTATGCTTTCCTGTATCATAATATCATAATAAATCTTTTACAGCCATTTAATTTGAAAAATATTTACATAAAAATATTTTAAAACATTTTTATAACTAGCTGCAAAAAAAATTATTTATAGGATGGCTACCTTTTCTAGTTTGCTAGAGCTGTTATATATATATTATATATATATATATTATATAATATATATTATATAATATATATATATATATTATATATATATATATATATATGTCGTACCTAGTAGCCAGAATGCACTTCTCGGCCTACTATGCAAGGCCTGATTTGCCTAATAAGCCAAGTTTTACTGAATTAATATATTTTCTCTAATTTTTTTCTTATGAAATGATAAAGCTACCCATTTCATTATGTATGAGGTCAATTTTTTTTTATTGAAGTTAAAATTAACGTAGATATATGACCGAACCTAACCAACCTTACCTAACCTATCTTTATAGGTTAGGTTATGTAGCCGAAAAAGTTAGGTTAGGTTAGGTAGTCGAAAAACAATTAATTCATGAAAACTTGGCTTATTAGGCAAATTGGGCCTTGCATAGTAGGCTGAGAAGTGCGTTCTGGCTACTAGGTACGACATATATATATATATATATATATATATATATATATATATATATATATATATATATATATATATATATATATATATGTCGTACCTAGTAGCCAGAACGCACTTCTCATCCTACTATGCAAGGCCCGATTTGCCTAATAAGCCAAGTTTTCATGAAATAATTGTTTTTCGGCTACCTAACCTACCTAACCTAACCTAACCTACCTTTTTCGGCTACCTAACCTAACCTAACCTATAAAGATAGGTTAGGTTAGGTTAGGTAGGGTTGGTTAGGTTCGGTCATATATCTACGTTAATTTGAACTCCAATAAAAAAAAATTGACCTCATACATAATGAAATGGGTAGCTTTATCATTTCATAAGAAAAAAATTAGAGAAAATATATTAATTCAGGAAAACTTGGCTTATTAGGCAAATCGGGCCTTGCATAGTAGGCCAAAAACTGCGTTCTGGCTACTAGGTACGACATATATATATATATATATATATATATATATATAAATAATAAACTATTCTAAATATTATAAATAACCTATAATGAGTACAGTATAAATAATACAAAAAATTAATTATTTTATTAATTGAAAATCAATTACATTAGTGCCATCTGATACTCAAAAATCATGCAGTCTGTGAAGCAAGAATTTAAGGAGAATATGACAACTTATGCATACAGGTATTTAGTTACATGGAATGTGAAGCAATATTGTATGCAGTCCATATATGGCTTCTGTAAGTGAACAATTCTTGAAAAATATATTTGAGTACAGCTTGAATTAGCCAGCAAAATGTTTATAGTACTGTACTCTGCATAGATACACAAGTTTAAACATAAGCAAAGTAAATGAAGACATTACAATATACAGTACAGTATTATAATGCTTGCCAATACTACTGTATATCCATGAAATATCGAACCTTGGATTAAAAAAAATCCTTACATTTAATATCAGAGTCGCGAACCCGTAGATCATCAGTTTCGTACACCTGTAATTCTTCATTATATCCAGGTGACCATGGAGCAGATTCTCTGTCTTGGGCATTAAGCTGGCTCAATGAAAAATCTTCCAATGTTCCTTCACTCTCAAACATCCTCTCCATGTCCTCATTTAGTTGCTCAGTAGACTGCTTTTTCTTTTTAGTCCCATCATCATAGACTGGCGACTGAAACAAAACAAAATGTTAATAAAAGAATGTTACAAATTTGTATGAATACAGTACTTATCAAAATGTATCAAATATTGTATATTTTAACAAGCAATTCCAACATGGTTTTACAAATGCATACAATATACTCTGCACCCTCGAAAACCTGGACCTCCATATAACAGAACTGTTTAAATGACTGATCAATCCACCAGTTGGATTTCCTCTTCAAATTCTGATTTCTCAGAAAAATAATCTGGATTCTGAAGGAGGATGCAGTGACATCTGGATTGTCTGTTCATGACAGACATTTCCAAAATTTTAATTTTTTTCTTATTTTGTTTATTTTTATTACTGTATTTGATTTATTTGTAATTATTATTATTTATAATACAGTACAGTAATGCAAGTATATATTTCAGAAATCTTTTACTAAACTTTTACTCTACTTTAAATTGTATGTAAGATTTTGTTCATGTGACAGTTTTGCCGAGGTATCCAGACCTACTGTGAGGGCACATGAACCAACCAAACATTTTCCTTGTGTTAATTCCCACATTGTGAGAATGTGGGTTAATCTCTCCTTACCAAAGCATTTTCACTAGTTTTTCTCTCCTATATATCATTATAATATTTGCAAGTTGAAGTAATGTTGTGCAGCAAGAATATATCAGACAAGAGTAACAGGAAATTCCTTATCCTGGACAACAAGGCTGAATTATTCCATAATTGTAACTGTAGCTATGGAGTAAAGCCGCTAGCAGAGGTGTTTGATAATAGTACTAGTGTTGTTTCCAATATAAAAATGTAAAGGATGCAGCTCATAAAGATTGTGAATAATGTGGAGAGTAGTAGTGGAAAGAAGTGACAAAATATTGCAACCTTTTGAACACAAGGTTGACAAAAATTGCCAATTATTGTACAGCAGCATTGTACCCTGGGGTGGTGCACAGTCTGTAGCTGAAAGAATGGCATTAATCATGAACATTGAGGACTTAAAAGGCCAATTCAGGATAACTGCAGAAGATTAACCAATATCATTACAGTACACAATACTGTAACAGCATCTTACTGCCGCTGGTTTATCAAGACCACCCAGCATGTGCTACAAGAAGGTAAATGACCAAGTTAATGTAAGGTATTTTGTTTATAATAAGTATAATGTATATTGCAACCTCCAAAAAGAAATCACAATACCATGATTGTGGTACCATGATACTGTACTATGAGAAAATCTTTGGAGCCAGCGGGCCAAATCTAACCAGCATCCTGAGTTACCCGACATGTGTGCCTCCATCTATGGCGATGTGCTTCAAAGATGCACAACCTGGAATCTCCTCAAACCTCACTAGAAATTTTGAGACACCAAGATGGTATAGTCCTCGAGCTGATCCTAATTTCCGAATAATCTAGCTTTCCAAATAATTGGAGTTTTGGCTATTTATTACATGTTTTTTGGCTTTTTTTCTTAAAAGCAAATGATATCATATATGTTTTGCTTATTTAAAACACACAAGTAACATATAAATAAAGATTTTGTGTGCATATTAAGTATATTACCTGTAACCTACATTTTGGCAGCACTCACGATGGGTATGGGTTCCATTAAAAAAAATTAAATTAACTCTAAAAATATCATACACACAAATTTACAAAACTGACTAAATCAATAAAGTTAACCTTGCAATTATATCATTAAATTTCTCCTAAAGATATCAGAGATTAAGTCTTATATACAGCCCATCATTGGTACAAACGGTGGCCAGGTTCACAAGACAAGTTCTAGCTACACATGTCAGTAGTAATGATTAAGTAATGTTAACATTACCTTAACTTAAGTAATGTTGGATTAAGGCTCTGCCTGAAACACTATGCGTGTTAGTGGCTTTGCATGAATGTAAAAACACCAATACAGTATTATGTAATCTCACCAACCCATTGTACCTTTTTGCAAATAAATTATTATTATTATTATTATTATTAATTATTTTTCAAAGTACAGTTAACCATGTTCAAAACTACAACTCAAAATGTGCTTTGTTCGCTTTCATCATGTAAACACAAAAGAAATATAACCAAAATACCTTACTTAACCTCACCTAGAATAACTGTGTAAACTCACAATACTGTAGATAATACTGATTTACATTTGGTGTTGTTTATCATTATAAAGTGTGAAAGTATAGAGTAAAGGAGTTGACTATACATGAAGGAGGTCTATATACTGCTGGTATTTTTATGATACCCAGGGGGGTAGAAATAGCCTAAGCTACTCTATCCCTTTGAGAAGTTTTTTTTCTTGTCTCAATAAACATACTTGAACTTGATATGATACCCTGACAGAACAGTAAGCACACTGTATTGTATATTATATTAAATATAAGTTATGAATTAATAAGAATTATAAGTTACAGTAATTGAAGTATGACAAAGCTTATCCTGCCAGTTGGTTGTCAGGTGTACAAGTCAAATACCGACATTAAATTTACATCAATTAGCACAGTAGTTGTCATTGCTTGGCTGGAGGATGGGTTGGTACACTAACACTGCTTCTGCATAGGCTATAAATTATTTATCAAATTCGATTTAGTCATATAGGCCTATTTATTGCTAGAAAATCAAATGATTATATATACATGCAATTAATTCCTAAGAATTGAAATACAGTATATAATTAATTATAGTACAGTATAAACAAATTAATCATTCCCTTTCCAATTTTGAAAATAACTTCATAGGCCTACTTTATTTGTCTGCTTACACAAACAAAATGAAGGAAAATCTTCCAAATAAATCAAGAAAGACACTCATGAAGTAGATTATTCTCACCATATTCGCCAGGGAGGATATCTTCTCCATCTTTAAAACCTGGTGAAATTATTAGCTGCCAAACCAGTAGTAGTATTGGACACTTCCTGCCCAGGACAACTGATGCAACTTCTCCAAACCTGCCGGGGAAAATTCCAATCAAATTAGAGAATTTTTTTAGCAAAACAGCAAAATAATTTATACATCGCATCATACGGGAGATAAATTACACAGGAGATATATATATATACATATATACTGTACACAAGAAATAATATTAACATAGTCCAGTGAGAAGTGTGTCATACCTATATCTGACTCTCAAACGTAACCCACACAAATACGTCTATCACCAAGTCAATTTATTTCTTTATTATGCACCCCATACCCATCTCGTAGGCAGTGGTGGAAAGGGCTGTCACCCTCGAATTAATTTGTCCTTTTTGCCAAAAGCAAAAATTCCATGTGAGTATAGTGTAATATGTACTTGAGTGTGAGGCTGGAGGTGCGACACACGACACGCTAGAGTAGCCAGGTGTGTCAAGAGCCCGGGGCCGAGCATGCTTCAGTCACCATCAATCAGTAACACTTTGACAGGTTTGACGTTGGGCTCAGTAACCCTAACAAGCTCTGGAGGGTTGTTAAGGTCACCGCAGGAGCTTACTGACTAACTGGCAAGTATACTGGAGTCCTGAAAATGGTTCAGGGCAAGACTTAACACCGTGAAGCCGGGTGGTGTATATATCCAACATGTATTGCATCAACACAAGTAACATTGCCAGTTGTTCTAATAGTCGTTTAATATTTACGGAATTATGATCACGAAGGCAAATTATATGCTGAGTGAAATTGCATTACAAATAAAGTAGAAAAAAACTGTTACAATTTTACAACCAACACGGCGAATCATTTATTATAAAAAATGTTGTATTTATTGAGTAATTGGGAGCTAGTTTCGCCGATAAGTAGTGAAGCTTGACAGCGCTGAACAATACACGGGATCTCGTGGTACAGTTGGCTTCGTTCTCCGCTCACAACCGGGGATCCCAAGTTCGATTCCCAGGCGGGATAGAAATAGTTAGGCATATATTTCCATTCATCTAATGCCTCTGTTTACCTAACAGTAAATTCATCTAATGCCTCTTTTCACATAACAATAATAAGATTTAATAATTCTAACAAGAATTTACTCAATATTTCTTATGTTTCTTTTTACTGTCGATGGTAATTGAAAAATCAATTCTCCAAAATTCATTTTTATTTCTAGTCTGACGCGACGCTTGAACGCGTTTCGTAATAACTTATTACATTTTCAAAGGCTTTAGTTTGCACACACACAACTGTAACCTGAAAACATTAAACAGAGTTTTTACTTAATGCTAACATTGTTGTTGTTGTTGTTTCAGATTTAGCTACTCAGAACGAAGTGTCCATGTAGCACGGGCTATGGTGAGCCCGTAATTGAGTTTGGTTATACGTGATAACCTTGCTTCTGTGATATTTGGGTCTAAGTTTAAAATGGAGGAGAGGATTTCTCCTTTATCCCTGCTTATTTATCGCTTCTGTTTTAGTGCACTGGTTTTAATCTTGTTTTATTAACATTATCTTGGTGGCGGATGTAGATGCAGAATGCTCACTAATGAGTCCCATTCCTCAACGGCTTTTCTAATCATTGCACTCGCAGTGGAATGTGCAGCTAATGCAGCTGCTGTCGTTGGATTAATGTTGAGTTTGATGTGCAGGGCTTCAGTAGCTTCACATTCTAGTACGTAGTGCAATAGTGGCGCCTCTGCTTCTGTTTCACAAAAGTGACACTCTTTAACTATTGGGTTCATTACCTCCCAGCAGCACTTGTAACCAAGTCTAAGTCTGTGTATGGCTACTGCAATATCTCTGGATATCTTTTTGCCAGTCTTGAAAGAGTAGTACCCAGTGGCTTGTTCGTACCATATCGCAGTGGATCTTCCTTCCGCTACTTTGGCTCTGTGGCGACTTTTGATAGTTGAGAATATTTTCTTCTTGACCTGCTCCTTAATCTGTGAGAAACTTGGAGGTATTTGAACCTGAATAACAGGTAGAGCAGTGGCAAGTTTTGCTAGTGAGTCTGCCTTTTCATTACCATCTATGCCAATGTGACTTAGTATCCAATTTAGGGTGACTGACAGCCCTCGATTATGGGCTTCTTTTCCTATATGTTGAATTTCTATGAGAAGTTGTATATTATCTCTGTGCTGACTGGATAACAATGCCTGGAGCGAAGATTTAAAGTCGGTATGAATGATGACATCATGTAAATTATTCTCAATTGTATAGTTTATTGCCTCCTTCAGGGCATATAATTCTGTCTGCAATGTTGAGCACCCACTATTCATGCTCCAGTAAGCTTCATGGTTGGTAGTGTAAACTGCTGCCCCAGCGGAATCTTTTTTTTGATCAACTGATCCGTCTGTGAAAATGTGAGTCGTTGTGGGTCTAAAGATAGTTTCCATTTGTTACTGTATTACTTCCTTGAGCCTCTGCGGGTCATATGCTGATTTTTTAACTGGTAATCTTTCAATGATTATCTTAGATTCGATTCTTTCCATGGAGGAGGCTGTCGAAAGTGTTGATATGGTCTATCTTCCCCTTTGTTTTTAATGGTCCATTTCAGGTTCATTTTCTCTAAAATCTTGACCAGATTATCCATACATGAGCTTGTTCTATACTGTAGGTTTATCTGAAAGGATCTCTGTATGCTGTCTTTGATTGACAGTCTGGCGGTTGTTCCAGTAAGTTTTCCTATTATGGTGGCTATCCTTTGTTTCATCCTGTTTTCTAATGCTGGTAAATTGTTTCCATTCTAAGGTTCTCTCTACGCGTCCATATAGGTGCTCCCAGCATTGTTCTCAGAGCATCATTTTGAGACACTTCCAGGTTTCTGCCATTGGTTATCACTGAGGGATGTAAGAGCAGGGGCAGCATAGTCGATGAGTGACCTAACTGCTTGAACGTAGTACATTTTGAGTACTGGTAGAGATACACCCTCTCTAAGACTGGTCAGGGAGTGCAAAGCTGAGTTTCTGGCTTTACAGCGTTGCCGAAGATATTAAATTTCTTGAGTGAATTTCAACTGGTTGTCTATTATGACTCCTAGGTATTGAAAAGAGGTAACCCACTCAATTTCTTGTCCTTGTATTGCCAGTCTGATGTCTTGAGTTCTCATTTTAACGGCTCCTTATGTACCTTGTGTCTTCAGCCTAAAGTCTCCAAAGGAATTTGTTGACTTACTGCGGTGAACACGGGCCACAGGGATAAGAGCCTCGTTGGACGTAGAATCACTGTTTACCAACGTACCTGTGGATGAAACAATCGGGATGATAGCGGACAGAGTGTATCGTGATCCGGCCTGTACTCCTCTTGACATACCAGAGAACATTCTAAGGAAACTACTCCAAGCTTGTACTAAAGAGGCACCCTTCTTGAGCCCGGATGGACACATGTATAAGCAAGTAGATGGGGTCGCCATGGGTTCCCCCCCTAAGTGTCCTGTTTGCGAACTTCTACATGGGTACCATCGAACAGAAGGTCTTAGTCGACATGAACTTGAAACCTGCCATATACTGCAGGTATGTTGACGACATTTTTACACAGGTACCTGATGTCAGACGTCTGCAGGTATGTTGACGACATTTTTACACAGGTACCTGATGTCAGACGTCTGCAGGAGCTGAAGGAGGCATTCGAGCGGAATTCAATATTGAGTTTCACTTACGAGATGGAGAAGGATGGGAAGCTGCCCTTTCTAGATGTAACAGTCATGGAAAGGAGCGGAGTTTTCCACAATGCAGTCTACACTAAGGAAACAAACATAGGAATGTGCCTGAATGCCAACAGTGACTGCCCGGACAGGTACAAGAGGAGTGTTGTTAACGCTTATGTCGACCGTGCTCTCAGCCACAGCTCAGGATGAAAGGAAGTCGATGAAGAACTCTGTAGGGTAAGGCAGGTCCTAGTCAACAACGGCTTCTCCAATGGTTTCGTTGAAGACATCATAAAAAGGAAAGTGAAACGCCATGCAACCTCTAAAGAGTCAACTAACACAACACCTGTACCCCCTATTAGACTATTTTACAGGAACTTCTTTTCCACAGCTCATAAAACGGAGGAAAGAGTCCTGAAAGATATTGTTGATAAGAACGTTATCCCTACAGACAAAAATCAGAAGATAAAATTGACGATTTACTATAAAACCAAAAAAAAACGGCCAACTACTCATGAAAAATTCTCCAGACACAAAGCAGAACGCCTTAAAGGAGACCAACGTCGTCTATGCCTTCAAATGCCCACTTGGGGACTAAAAGCCCCAAAGAACTCAGTATATAGGCAAGACAACAACATCTCTTTCCAGGCGATTAACAATGTATAAGCAACAGGGCTCCATTAAGGAACATATAATCTCTTCCCACAACCAGACCATCACTAGAGAAGTCTTAACAAACAACACAGAAATCATCGATAGATACAGCGATAACAGGCGGCTAGACGTCTGCGAGGCATTACACATCAAGAAGTCAACATCAGCAATCAACAGCCAATTAATGCACAACTATATTCTACCCACTTCAAGACTTCACTCCAATATAGAAGCATCAAGAAATATGGACCAATAGGCTTTCTACAATTACTTCCATTCAATACCCATTGTTTCGTGTTCTGTCTTGTGTTTGAATTTAATACCCATTCAATACCCATTGTTGAAAGTTTGTTTTCACCTCATCCACCTCACCCAAATGTAGATATAAACTCGAAGATGTGTAAGCTCTATTCAGTTTCAGTTGTGTGTTTGTAAACTAAAGTCTATGAAAATGTAATAAGTTTTTTGAAACGCGCTCAAGTGTCGCGTCAGACTAATAATAAAAATGAATTTTTTCAACAGTGAAAAGAAACGTAAGAAAGGTAGAGAAAATTCGTGATAGAATTATTAATCTTACTTTTTCGGTCATATTTAATAATATATATATATATATATATATATATATATATATATATATATATATATATATATATATATATATATATATATATATATATATATATATATATATATATATATATATATATATATATATATATATATATATATATATATATATATATATAT